CAGTTTTTACGGACGCATAACTAACTGATCAATGCAAACTACTCGAGAACTACCAGAGGAAACATCTGGTGAATTTACTTCTCAGTTTTAGGCGGTATAACGCGAATTACCACGACGAATTCGCAGTCAAACGTCAAGAACTCTTCGGTCCCAGCCAGACGTAAGCGAGCGGCTTGCGGGAAAATGGCCATAAAATGTATGCATTCAGACCATTCAACCGCCGAAGACCAGCACAAATACCAGAAGATTCAGGCCGAGGAAGTGCAAGGATGTAAAGACAATGAAGGTAAGCGACAGATTTACGAAATGTAGCCAACTTTGTGGTAATGTTTATTTACGATTTGTCAAAAACCGGGCTTAAGATCGTGAGCGGAAGTCCATACATTATCACAGTGATCGTGCAAATATCATTGTTATTCGTCCGCTTCATTTGACGATACATCTTTTGTTTGATTAACTTTGTAAACAAAAATGTTAACCCTTGTACTGACTTGTAGGCAATATCGATCAAATTAGAGGTTGTGTACTAGCCGGCATGTTCAGTTCACGTGCTATTAACAGTAGTTTTTAAAAAGTTTTATCCCTACTTTAGGTTGTACATGTTCTTTGTTTAAGTTAGACATTAAACTGAGCATGATACATATGCAAGATGGATTTCTCTTCAGAGTCCTCACTATGAACTGTTCTTAGTTACTCAGTTGTGATCAAAATTATGACTTGTTGTATAAGTCTTAAATATTGATCCATAATCTAGTTATGGTACGCATGTTCCACCTTGTTTATAAAGTTTAATGCCTTGTTTAGACTTAAGCATTTTACCGATGTACTGGAGTTTAATCTCCTAGGTAAATATTTTGCGAATGTAAACGCCAACTGATACCATGGTAAAAGCTGTGTGAGACTATAGAAGATTAACCAAGGTAAAAGTTCGATTTACCCTATGATCAGGCATGGTTTAGGTCAGTAACCAAGGTCGAGATGACAGATATATCTGCTTGCAGTCACATAGTATTTCACATGGTGTCCAGATGGCGTCAGTCTCATTCGATCATGACAAGAATTGTTTTCGCTCTATGACATCTGCGTATGAGTCATGGCAAAAGCAAAGACATTAATCCTTCTTTGCCAAATCCAAATGAACCACTCGGAATATATATTCAAACTCACCTTTAGCTCTAGGTATTCTGAAGTTCTCTTACCACCATTCTTCAACAAAATTTCTGTGTAAAAGGGTTTTAAACCAGAATTGGTTTCTTGTCTACAACCACGCGAGTCTAGCATGTCTTGTCTTCTGAAGAGCAATTTGAAACAAAATTGATCACTTTCGCCTCCGTTGACTTCCTGAGGTGCTACAAAAGTAAGTGATGCTGAAATCTTGAGTCCTAAATTTGCTGCTCAAGAACAAGAAACTAAAACATGGGGACTACAAGAGCCACAGCTTCTCTTTTGGATGCAGCCATTTTCTGCATGGATTTTGTACAATTTCTGTACAGTTTTACTAAGTTTTAGTCAGTAAATGCTTAACTTGCTAAACGCTTAAGTGTAAACACTGGGTAAGGTTATTTTTCTCTCTGATTACTCTTGTATATTTATCATGCCTATTTGGTGTAAGAAGTTTTGGTCATGAAGCCATGCTTAATTTACAAGTGAATGCCTGAAAGATCACATATTTGAACTGCAGAGAAAGATATGAAGACATGATTGATCAGCACAGCTATACATACAACTTAAGCAGTCATGAAATTAAAGCCTGAAAAAAAATTCAGGCTTGAAAGGGACTTGAACCCGTGACCTCTGCGATACCGGTGCAGTGCTGTACTCATCACATTGCGAGTTCGTAATTTACCCATACACGTACATGTACAGTAGATGGTGAAGAGTACAAGGGAATATATGAAAGATCATATATTTTAACTGTGGAGAAAGATATGTAGACGTGATTGATCATTGCAGTTATACACACAACATAAGCAGTTGTCAAATTACTGCGCAGTGGCTTCATGGTTAGTGCGCTCGTCTCCGGATCGAGCAGTTCGGTGTTCCAGCCCTGGCCGGGGAAAATGTGTTGTGTTCTTGGGCAAGACACTTTACTCTCACAGTGTCTCTCCCCACCCAGGTGTATAAATGGGTACTGGCAAATTAAATGCTGGGGGTAACCAGTTCAGGAATCAAACAAAATTGAACCAAAAAAATTTTTATTTGAGAGTTTGTGAGAGTTTGATTGCATTTGGCTTATACTCCATTTCCCAAAACCCAGTTAAACCCAATCAAACTTCATGGGAAGTTCTAAACTACAGTTATCACGGAAAATATACAAGATTTTTTTAAACTACCGGTATTTCTTTATGTGATGTAAGAACAACCGAGAATTAAGTGAAACCAACAGTAGAAACAGAAATACCTGACAAATTGAGGTAAAGCAAGACTTAACATTAATGGTGTTATTATGATCCAGATTAGTAATAGTAATTGGACTGAGTGGAGTACAATTCAAGGAAGGAATCAGGCAAACAATTTCAAAATCAGATGAGCTCAAGGCCGATTTGAAATTAGGAGCACAATTACTTCCTGAATTGTATGGCACTAAGGTCCAGTTACTAATTACTCATATCAAAAACAAAATTTTGAAATTAAAAAAAAGAACTTCTTTTGAGCAAGAAAGCGAGTAGCACTGTCCATCTCTAGGAAATGTCAAGAAGAAAGCCATTGAAGCATGTAATTGATGTGCAAATGACGAAGGTATCCGATTACAGGTATTTAATTGTAACTTGTTCAAATTGGATACTTGTAATTGGACACCCACTTGATTGCGCGCCAATTATGTGACAAATGGGTGTGCATAGCACTAATTACGATTGAGAATTTTGTTATAGATGTGATCAAGTGAGTAAATGGTGATAACAACGTCTAATACTTTCTCCTAGACGAGAATACATTGCAATACTTTGTAAGACCCCTAGAAAAAGGAAACAATCACCAGAAAAAACACATGTTTCCCAACCCTTGTTTCCTAATATTATATAACTCCCATTTTTAATCGATCATATTCCACCTTGAACCATCCAACTTATAAATCAACTCAATCAAAGTTTGATTGCATTTGATCGCTCTACATGTATGTTTGAGTGCCAAACCCAACTGGACCCAACTGCCCAATAATAAACTTTTGTTTTCTGNTGTAAGACCCCTAGAAAAAGGAAACAATCACCAGAACAAACACATGTTTCCCAACCCTTGTTTCCTAATAATATATAACTCCCATTTTTAATCGATCATATTCCACCTTCAACCATCCAACTTATAAATCAACTCAATCAAAGTTTGATTGCATTTGATTGCTCCAATCTTTTTTTAAGAGTTCAGTTACATGTATGTTTGAGTGCCAAACCCAACTGGACCCAACTGCCCAATAATAAGGTTTCGTTTTCTGAAATAATAATTACTATTTGACTTTTTTTTTCAGTATCGGCTAAGCCACTAGATACACATAACCTGCTCCATTTGAAGCATGACTGGTTTGACAAGGTTGGTTGTTGGTGTTTGTCATACCTTTTTAGAGTTACTTCACCCTTGTAATGAAGAATACGTTTACACTGTACGACACAAATTGATTACATACATGTACAGTACACAGGGACAAGGACAGAGCTTTCAAACCATATACTTAGCAATAAGATTATGAGCAAGAGATTTCTTTTACACATAGAAACCAGGAGTGATTATAACAATTATAATCGCTCTTGATTTCTATGGGCAACTATTAATGTTTTAGGGTGGTTTTCAATTGAGTGTTGAAAGTAATCAAGTAATTACTTTGGTTTTGGTTTTGGTTTTACCNGCTCTTGATTTCTATGGGCAACTATTAATGTTTTAGGGTGGTTTTCAATTGAGTGTTGAAAGTAATCAAGTAATTACTTTGGTTTTGGTTTTGGTTTTACCACGGTGTGAGATTGGCTGAGCAGCTTAATTGGTAAGTTATTGGTTTGGTTTTGGTTTTATGACCCTCAATTGAAAACTGCTCTAGTATCAATAAATCTACTAGTCCTTGAAACCTTTAGCTAAATCCTCTTTATGTGTACTAGAGACTTTGAAATAATAAAAAAAGAAGCTCATCTGACATTTTGTTAACAGCCACACACTGTTAGCTACTCACTATCTACAACAGCAGAGATAGTGAGTATCTTAGCCAATAAGAAAACAACACTTGTAATAGAATGTATTTTATTGAATGAATTTTATTTTTGCTTGGGGATGTATACTAATTGTCTTTATGACATCCACGCTCACTTTCAGCCAATGCAATTCTACGGTCCTTTTTACCTAAGAACTGCAGTTGCTGATCAAAGTTTTCTATTTTGTTCCTTTTAGGGAGACACCATTGTTATTCATTTGTATGTCAAAAATGTCAACCGACAGCTCCTCAGTGTAATCCTTTTTGAAGATGAACTTCAAGTTAAATTTGCTACAAGGTTTGATTCACTTTTTCTTGCTTTACAGATTGTAAATGGCCTGTACACATTGATTTTGTTGTTGCATTTGTGAATGTCATTCACTATATTTCGGTAATATAAGTATGTGGAAATACATCTACATGAACATGCAATGCAAGTTTAAATTACTGTGGTTGTTTCCCATGCCAGTGGAGGGACCCTGTCATTCAAAGGTTGGGGTGCATGTCATGCCTTTTAGGGTTTAAAAACACTATTTGGGTACCTCTTAAGTACGGTTTTCAACCTAAGGTCCACAGTAGGAGTTTTTGCAGTACTTTTAAGGTACCTATTGAGCCGATACCTCTGAGGGGTGAAAAAAATTTCAAGCCACACCCACAAAACAGGAGGGTACCTCTTATGTGTTCTTTTCAAAATTTTTGATGAGCACCGCTTTCCTTGTTATATGGAAGTCTCCCCAGGGGTTGTTTGCCAGTTTAAATAAAGTTAGTTAGCAAACACGGTAAACTAAGTCACACACAATAATTATTTAGCTAGTACATGTAGCTGACATGAAGTCACAGAACGACAACTGGAAAAAACTTCAATCATTATACTGGGTGTAGCATACAGTCAGTCAGTCAATCTGTCTGTCTGTCTGACTGTCTGTCTGTCTATCGGTCCATCTGCCCCACTGTTGATTAGTCATTATAATGTGATTGATGCTGGTTTCTTTTTTTAGTAACAACTAAACTTATACATATATTGTTTGCATAGATGGTAGCAAATGTAGATTATGTACTATGCATGTACATTTGAAAACGAAGTACATATAGTTTTGCGTTGATAAGAAAAATCCTTCGTCTAGAAATGTAAACTGAGGCTAAAGATCTTGATCATATTGTTGAATTCAAATTTGACACCACACCCATGTACATGCAAATTTTAACCCAGTAATAACTTGTAATAAATTTGTTTTTATGTATCAGGTTTTGTAATCTACTATAATATTGTATTCTGGTAGTTTCAAAAATTACCTTTTATTGTTAAATTGTCAAATTTATCTAATCATGCTGTGCTGTTGAATTGTGTTTAGTCACAAGGAGTTCTTAAAGATGTATCCTGGTACATCAGAAAATACTCTGTTTTCATGGAATCTAAAACTAAGGTTTGCAGAATTTTGAATGCATTTGTGGGATACTTAAATCATACATGTAGATCGAGTCAAGTACATTTACCGTTCACGTGTTCCAAATCACCAATGCTGTGTCTGGTAAAGTAATTATATGGTCTTATAATCCATCAAATGTTTTCGCTCTCACATGATTGATCTAAACACATCACATGACTGAATATGCCCCAGCTAAAAGTGGAGAATATCCAAGTGATATTTCCCAATTTTTAAAATTGTTTGTGTTACAAAAACTATTTGAAGGATACAAAGAAGATATTCATCTTTGAACATTTTTCCTGTTCCTCAAAGCTCACAGTTTTCCTTGAGCTACAAGTGTATGCTCTCTGAAAACTATTCACTTCCCGGAACAGGTAATGGCTGCGGGCAAATATCTGAGCATATTTTTGCATCAAATGGAGGCTATTGTTTTTATGTACTCACAATGTACAGTGTACTGTACAATCAGGAGTGAATCGAAACAGCTTTAAATTTTTCTTTAAATTAGAAATGAGCTCCCATGTAAACTGTAACTTGGTTCTTGGAGATTGAAGAGGTGTCTTAATTTTCTGCAATCACTATACATACTGTACAGTTACCAGTTACAGGGTGTTGCTTTAAATCTTAGCTACACTATGTATACATAAACATGTGCATCTTGTATTTTATTTTGATGATCTTGTATCTTTGGTTTGCCAACAGGGGGAATGTAGACTTGGCAGAATCTAGCAGCCGGACAGCAAAAGCCTTTTTGGAGATATCATTAAAAAAGAAATCAACTGCCAGATGGGGTGGTTTAGAAAAACCGAAGAGGCCAGGTATGCAATGACCATTACTTATACAGCCTTGAGCCTTGAGTAAACAGAAGAGACAGTGCAATTGCCCAATGGTCGACTCTAATTTCATCAACAGACCATAAGAAAAAGCAGCAGCTCAATTGTGTTCATTTCTTGGCTTCAAAAACCCAGTTTGTTCAGTCACAGCTCACAGCTCATTGGACAAGTCCATATGAAGTCAGCCTGTCACTAACTGATTTACAGCCAACCACTTGGCAGTTTTTTCCCATTTTGACTCTGCACGGTATAGTGTTTCAGTTTATACATAAAAAATGGCAACCATAACTTGTGAAAAAAGAAACCAAAACTTCTTTTTTACCTCAAGCAAAATTAAATCTGCAAGTTGCTAGAGCAAATTTGTGCTTAGTATTGGAACAGTGCTCAACAACATTGCGAAGCTGAGCTCTAAAGAACATCTGGTTTGATTGCTATTTCCATGCATTGGTCTGTTCCTCCATAGAGCTCTTTTGGTGTTATCTGTTCAATTATTTTAGGGCATCTGACAGGATGCGGTGGTGCGGGTCCGCATAATTTGCCAACATCCATACATTGTATCCTCCGAATAATTAGAGTTTTTTTCCGCACAAAACAGAAAAAGTGTTATGTATTAGTGGTGAAGCAGCTGCTTACCATCTCCACAATTGAAAATTCTGAAGAGATTGATTATTTTGAAGTAGTTTCTCTCCTAAAACAATGATAAAAACACGCCATTTCGTTTGTGACGAATCTTTAACTTCCATGTACTTCAGCCAAAGAGCCTGGAAACTAGTTTTTCAGCGTCAGTTATGGATGTTCTAAGAACGCAATGTTCAACTAATTCTTTACCCAAAATTCCACTGGAAAACCTGTGTTAAATGACGAAATACCTGACAACAAATACTAGAAACAGATCAAGCATATGTCAAAGTTGGCGGGCGTGATGTTTAATGAGTTTATTCTATTAAGAGCATAAATTGTGGGCAAGACTTTGAAGTGCCTGTTGTTTCACTGTTGCTTGGTACATTGGAAAGGCTTTATTACACACTGTATCAATTTTGTTAACTGTTGAAATTTCCGCATAATTGACGCATTTTTCTGCATTTTCCCCCGAAAATTTCTGCATAATTTGTGTTTTTTTTCCACACCCTGTCAGATGGCATGTTATTTTCATTTTGCACTAAATACAGGATGAGGTTATTGATTAACACTGATACTTTTTCTGGGTAATATTAGGTTGTAATGGAGAAAATTTATCAAGTGAAAGACCTTACAAGCAGCTGTTTAATTCTACAACTCCACAATCAGAACAGATACTTTCCAATGGAGTTCACAAGACTTCTAATGACACAGATGACTCTAACATTACTTTGTCAATGGAATCAAAAACTTCTAATTCCAAAGTTGAGGATGAAAGAATTGGTACCATACCTGAGGTAAAGCTTCCTCCAGATGTTGCTTCTACATCAACTGCCATGGAAAATTCAGGAGATGTCTGTGGATCTCCTGACATGGAAAAAGCGAACTTGCAGTTTACGACTGAATGTATACCACAAGATGTTGACAGTGGTGGTATCAATGAAACAAGTGATTTGGAATCTCCTCTAGAATCTAAACCAGAGACAACATTAAATGACACGAGAACTACATTTCATGAATCTGAAAATGGACATATAAATTTAGAAATTCCAATAGAGTCTGCAGGTGTGGAAAAGGATCCGGAGTATCAAGGAAAGCATGCTATGGCAACCTCCACTGCAGAGAGTCTAACCACGTCATTTAGCACTTTGTCTACTACTGTACAACCAAGTACATCTACTTCAACCTTGCCTTCGGTTTCTTCATTTGACTCATCTTCAGCATTGGGAAGCCAAACAGCAATTCCACTGCCTCCACCTATCCCACCACCACCTCCTCCGCACTCAGCGGTACGGGGATGTGGCGATGGCCAAATGAAGACGGGAGTGATGGGTGGAAGTAAAAGCAATGTCACTCATGTTCCATTCAGTGACGCCATCAAAGCTGCTGCATCTAAAGGTGCAGACATGGTTGGAAGTAGTTTTGATGATGAGGAAGATTCTGGTGAATGTGTCCATGTTGGTCTCACAGGCTTGGAGAATCTTGGAAACACCTGCTATCTGAACTCCATTATCCAGTGTTTGGCAAACACAAGACAGCTTAGAGACTTTTTTCTTGGTAAGTTTTAGCACTGACTACTGGCTAAGTGTGCTAATTGTGAGTTTTTTGAGAAGCCAGTTCCTTTTTGTGTGGTTGCTTTTTGCGCTTGCTATAAATGATTGCTCTACTTTGTACAGTGTAGTTTATGGTAGAATGAAAATGGCTGCATTTAGTTTTTGTACTGCTTGGGCCATGACTGCAGTCAGGCTAGCAGATTCTGTCCTTTGCTTGTCTGATGGCTAAGTGAAGTTTCTTGGAAAAATGTGTGATGAAATTTAATTTTCAGAAGCACTGTATATGAAAGATGAAATTTTGGGGGGCAAACGAGAATGGCTTAGGGGCTAGTAAATAGATACAAATTTATGGCTTGCCAGAAGGGCAAGCCTGGAAACACTCTGTGCATCCTACATGTACAGTGTACACAACAACTTTCAGTACATGTAAGATAATTTGCAGTTAGGATAGCTAAGAACCCGAAAAAACTATTTAAGTTAATTTTCTCTCAACTCAATTACACCCATTTTCACGTGCATAGGCGACATCTTTCGTCATGCTATGTTACCTGGCCTATGTCAAAAATGTAAGCAAAACCAACTTCTTTACAGTTGAACTTGAGCTTTAGTCATGAAAAATGGATTTATTTGACATCAGAACAAAGATAGGAGTGTCATAAAGTCGTTCTGTAAGAGATAAATTGACCGTTTTGAATTTTTACATGCGTGTGCATCTTTCGGGTACTAAACGCAGTAGTGGCCCAAATGCTACCGGTAGTTACTATTGAGAGCTGATTGACCACACTCAAATTGTTTGAATTATCCACAATCTTCTTCAGCCGTTTGAGGTCGGTAATAGCATTTACATGTATTTGTCATTGTCAGTTTCACAATGTTTACTTAGCGTGTCGAAAGATGGTTGAAAGATGCTGCCTGTGCACATAACATTGAAAGTGGGTGTAATTTATGAATGTTGCATCAATTGAGATCGTACACGTAAATTTTAATCATGTGCATTAAAACAGCTAATGATAGATTCAATTGTTGTACCATGATATGTAGACGGTCAATGTCTTAGAACATTAATTTTGTTACTTACATGTACATGTACCTGATAACTCTAACCTTGCCATGGGTTATTCTGAATATCACAATAACTCCTTTTGTGACCATCACAAAAAAAATCACTTTCAGGTGATCAGTATCAAGATGACATCAACACAGAAAACCCACTGGGCACTGGAGGAAAGCTTGCTGTTATTTTTGCAAACTTAATGAGAAACCTGTGGACTGGAAAGGAGAGATCATTATCTCCATATAAACTGAAGGTGAGAATGCATGAGTTCAATTACTTTGTGATTTGCCAAACAGGTGAGAAAACTTTTGAATTTGTACTTTTTGATTTGAAACATTTGCTGCGAAGTGACAAATGCGCAAAAACGTTGTAGAGAAAAGACAAACATTTTGAGCTGTAGTTACTACATTGTAAATGCACTTCTTGATTACATAAGGAATGCTTTATTTTGAATGAAATCAATTAATGTTAACTTTTGTCATTTGCATTGCAATGTAATCCAACATGAATGCAAGTCAATTTCGGGTAGAAAATACAAAAATGTCCAAAGTTGCCTCTCATGCATGTCAGGTTATATTTTAACACAATTGAGACACAAGAGTTAACCTGGAAAGGGCTATGGTCAAAGCATTCCTTAACTGTACGCGTAACGTGTCTGCATTAGAGTTATGGTATCAAACTGCTGACACATACAGTTGACATGCACTGCGCTACAGTTACTTCCTTCTTTTATGTTCATTTACTTGAGTTTTTTATTATTAAATGTTTAGGGAATTGTTGGTGAAAAGGTCTGTCAGTTTAAAGGTTTTATGCAACAAGATGCACAAGAGTTTATGGCATTCTTATTGGATGGTCTGCATGAGGTAGGAATGTCTTAATTCTTTTTTTCTTCCAGGAGAAGTTTACAGTACACACATGTTTGTACATTCTGTACACATGTTTTAAAAACATCAATTTCTCAGATATACAATGTAGATGTTGGATTATGTAAAATGATGAAAAGTCGTTTCTGTTCTTGTCTTAAAGGCTGACAAAGAGCCAAGTGGAAATGAAACACTCTTTTATATTTGGAAGACTCCAAAATCATTTTTAACTGTTTTGTTTTTACATAATATTTAGGACCTCAACAGAATCAAGGAAAAACCTTACGTCGAGGAGGTTGAAGGAGCAGGGAAACCTGACGCTGAAGTAGCTAACGAGGCATGGAGGAGATACAAGAGTAGGAATGACTCGGTGATAGTAGACTTGTTCCAGGGGCAGTTGAAATCCAAACTCACTTGCCCAGTGTGTAACAAGGTAAGCCAGAGTTGCTTAATCGACTAAAAATCAGGGTCTATGAACCCTAGCTAACAAGTTGTATTTAAAGACAGCCTCTTATATGAATACAGCACGATGTGAACTACATTGTAAGGACACAAGGACACTTGAGGAACGAAATAAGAAACTTTAATCAACTTCTACACTGCATAGGCGTACATGTAGATTTAAGGGATGATTGCCTTATTAAGCTCACGTGAAATGGTCAGGATACATCTTTTTTAAACTGCTGGTTCTCCTGATGCTGCCCCCCCCCCCCCAACACACATAGTTGTATATAACATGTTAAAGGTTTCAGGTTGCAACTACAAGGTGTTTTCTTGACAAAGCTCATGTTTTCAGTTTGATAGTACCTAACATTTTAGGGTGTTTTAAGCAGTGGCAATTCAAAGGACAGTATTTAGTAAATAAATGAATTAACATTTTACTCTAAAGTGAATAAGTGTGTCTTTTTGTATCAGAGCTTTGTTCAAACTACAATAAGAAAGGACAAATTTCAGTACTCCTGTTTATATAGATTATGATTTCAGTACAGTTTCCTGATCTAATATGGCTATTGTTTTCTCTCGTTTTCCTTTAGATTTCTATTAAATATGATCCTTTCATGAACCTGTCTGTTCCACTGCCCAAAGAACAGAAACTCTTGCCTGTGTATATTTTCTTCCGTGACTACAACAGAGTGCCCCTCAAGGTACATGTGTGTTCATAATCTACTTGTTAGTGTAGTGTACTCTTACTGATGTATAACATTGCAGACAGGTCTGTAATTCTACAGCCTTTGTTACAGTAAGATGGGACAATTTGCTTTTGGTTGGAATACAGTTGTTTTGAGTAAGGTTGTCCTGCAAAAGCATATACAACAATGCTGAAAGGTTCTTATACTATGTGTTATTATACATTAAACTCACTATCTCTTTTCTGATTGGTCAAAAGCGTACAGTGAATTTTCGAAATCAGCGCCTGTAACGTCCTCTCTGCAGATTATACAAAAATCATGTCAAGGACACTCAAGGTCACGGGTAATCATGTCAAGTTCGCGCGCTTCGTGTTGCTTACCGTCAGTGAAGACGCAAATACATGACTTCCATTTTTTTCGTTCAATGTATAATAAGACAATTATTAGATTCGGTTTTTGTGATATCCAGAATAATCAAGGTTGAGGTAGGGGTTATCAGCCGAAGCCGAAGTGACATGCAGGTGATTTGTACAATGTGGATGAATGTAGTGGCTTTATGTTCCCAGCGTTCGAGAAGAATTTTTCCCTTTCTTTTTCCGTTGGTTTTAGCAGTTTCAGTGGCGGATCTAGGGGAGGGGACGGGAGGGAGGCTGTCCCCCCCTTATGTTGGGTGAAAAAAGAAGAAATGACTGAAGGAANTGCGATCGCTTGGCTCTCCTCAAGGGAGAAGATCTCAAGGGAGGAAATCTCAGAGGCTGGTAGTCAGACAATTATTTTTCGTTTTCTCTCATTTATTTATTTATTTATTTATTTATTTGTTTATTTATTTGTTTGTTTGTTTGTTTGTTTATTTATTTATTTATTTGTTTGTTTATTTATTTATTTTTTCGTTTTCTATTTGCAGGGAATGCCAGAAGGGACACTGGGCGACTCACAAGAGAAGCTGTAAAAGAGTTCCCCAGCCCATCGGAATTCCTTTTGTGATCAGCGTTCCCGCCTCTAAGGCAACCTTCAAACAACTGCAAAAGATGGCTGAAGAGTATGCCAAGTAAGTTTAATCAACAGGCTTTCCTGAACTTTGGGGTCGATTATCTGTCGCTGTTTGGGAAGGAACAAGTTCAGACTCTAGAGTGTGACGGAATTGAGGCTGTTAGAATGCGTTACATACAATGTAGGGTAATGTACGTCATCCTTGTTGACAGGAAAGCGTGCTGGAGACGAAATGCTTGCAATGCTTGCGACGCTTAGGAGGGCTAATACTTTAAGGTCATTTCATCAGCATGTGTTATAGTGAACATTACTTTTCCTCTCGTTCTACCTGCTATTCATCCAGGTCCCGCTCGTCGCCCGCGCGCTTTTTCGATCGTCCCCACTGACCGAGAGCCTGGAACAGGCTAACAACACCTCGCCTTGCTGTACCTTAATAGAGAAGGGAGTTTCGAGTAATTTTTTCTTCTTTTTTTGCAGATATTCCGTAATTGTAAAGCCTGGGGACAGCCCAAAGGAAAATTCTGCAAGCAAAGGTGAAACATCCTCTGAGGCAGAAAGCATATCCTCTGGTGAGTCTCACCCATGGTGAAAGAAAACACAAGCCCAG